TTCCTCACTGCGTCTTTCCAGACATCACCTGCTCCTCTCTTACTGTCCTTCTCCCTTCCCTACCCGTTTTCTTACGTCACTTTATTCTTACCTGCACCGTGACACCTGGCACGGTATGCTCCGCTACTCACCATGCTGGCTCCCCGTGGACGTTGAATAACGGTTGCTGCCCAGGTGGCTCCTCACTATTCTCCCCAGTACCAACTGCATGACACAGATGCAAACCAAATCCCAGAACGAGGGTTTTGTGTCTTCGCAGCCATTCTGCAGCTCTGTCTTGCCAGACTGGACAACCAGGAAGCTTAAGCTGAAAATTGTGTGGGCACCTGGTTCAATTTCACTCTCTTCAACAAGAGCTTAGGCAAAACACAGGGTCGAGTGCAGCTTGGTGGCAGTGCACACCTTAATCCAGCACTCTTGAAACAGAGGCAGGTGAATGGATCTTTGAGTTGGAGACCAACCTGGTCTACCTACAAAGCTAAGTTACAGGACAGTGGTGGCTACACAGAGAAACCCAGTCTCATAAAAATATTTAAAAACAACAAACAAAACAAACAAACAAAAAAAAAACAGAGTCTGTGTGCAGGAAGCTGTTAGAGGGGATACAAGGTGGGCCTCTGAGCATTGAGCCATGGAACCAGTCAGATGTCAAGAGACTGAACTCCACTGGAATGCTGAAGTCAGAGGGGACAGGGGGCAGTCCTCACATAGGACGGGTCCCCTGTGAAGCAGTCAGCTCTACACAACCATGAGAGCCAGAATGCAAAGCTCCAATGTCAGTTGTTAGAGGATTTGTTTGTTTGGCTTCTTGAGACAGTTTCTCTTCGTAGCTCTGGCTGTTCTGGAACTTACTCTGTAGACCAGGCAGGCCTCAAACACAGAGACCCACCTACCTCTGCCTCCCAAGTGCTGGAATTAAAGGTGTGTGCCACCACCATCCTGGGTGATTCTCAGCATTGCCTTTGTCAGGCAATGCAGCTGAAGAGGTACTTGTGTAGACAAGGTTGAAACAGTTCAGACCTGCGCACGCCTGGGAAGTCTAAGAACAGGCTCTTCTCCTTTAACACGGCAGGGAGACTGCTGTACAATAATGAACCAGCGGGGCTGCTGATGGCCACCTCGTCTTACCATCAATCCATGTCTCCTCCTGCACTGTGAGTGGACATCTGGAATGGGGATAGACTCTCTGCCACAGGTGTGTGTGTGTGTGTGTGTGTGTGTGTGTGTGTGTGTGTGTGTGTGTTGTGTAGCAGTGGGCATTCTGAAGAGCAGAGTCCTCACTCTGGATTCCCCCCAGCTCTAAGACAGGAATGTGAACGGCCCAGCCTCCCCTCCTTTAGTGAAGCAAACCGAGTGTGTCCCAGCGTCTCAGAAGAGCCTGGCAAGATTAAGCCACGCTTGACCATGTCGGGAACGTAGCCATTCGTCACACATTTGTTTTTTTCTTTGTCTCTCCTCCTCCTCTTATTCTGCCATCCTTCCAGGTTCAAACTGCCAGCCTCCCCCTGCTTTTCTACGGTGTTTGCTGAAATGGGATTTGGTCTGGGACACTCAGTACTCTTGCACACCCATAGAGCCCTGTCACTGTGATATGAGGGCCACCTTAAAACTCACTCACGAGGACCAAACACACCTCTCACTAGTTTTCCTCAAGAAGGTATCAGAATAGGCTGATTTCCCACAGGTACATGACCCCCTAAGCTGAAAGGCAAGCACAGCCGCATGTTTAAGTCATGTGCATGCCCACAGGGAAGATTAGCGAAGATCTTGGTGTTTTATGAATCTCAGAAGGAAGCCACATCAGGCATGTTAGAAACCAAGCTAAGTGCTGTGAAAAGTGTCTTCTGACCATGATGGGACCCACAAACTCCTGGCAACTATGGCCGCCTGTACAAGACTAAGCCAGGCAACATTCCAGCTCGGAGGTGGGAGGGACTCAAAAGCCCCCACCCCTAGCTGAGGAGCTGCTGACAACTGGTGGCTGCAAAGGGGGAGTCAGTTTTTAGGGTGTGGCCCTGGTGGGCCAACCGTACTCGGGTAGATGCGCCACATACATGGGTTCATAGGCAGCACGAATTGGACCCAGTGGGTTAAAAAAAATAGTAATAAAAGACATGAAGTTAGGAAGGAGCAGATCCAGGAGAGTAAAGTAAGGAGTGAATATGACCACGTGAAAAAGAATTCAGGAAAAGGGGAAAAGAAACCAGGGTACCTCTGTTTCTAGAACAAGCATTATCAGGAATGCTGTTTGCTATTCGTAATACATTTACAACAGTGAGAAACGACTAATAGAAAGTGCTGACTTGCCTGGTTATGTAACAGTGATTGCTTCATACGGTGTCAAATCATCCAAACGATTGCTAGGTGTTCCCCATGGGCATGACTGTCTCCAGAAACCCCAGCTAACAGCCTATTTTTGTTTTGCAGTCCTGGGAACTGAACCTGTGCCCTTAAGCATATTCACACTCAGCCACAGAGCAGAATCCCCAGGCCTTAGTTTTCTTCAGAAAGGGTCTCACTATATAGTTCAAATTATGCTTGAAGAACCCTGCATCCTGGTGGGGTTCGGCTCGTGCTCCTCCTGCCTCAGTCTCCTAAAAGCTATAAATTAATGCTTATGCCCCTCAAGTTTAAGGGATCCCTAATGCCTCCTCCATTAAGAGACTGGCACTCACACTCTCGTCATTCCCTTCACAACAGATTGGCTCTCCTGTTACCAAGTGACCACTAGGCTCACTTTGGAGACAGGAAAATTTTCTCTGTTGACCTCGGCTACCCTGTCTCAGACAGGCTTTGTACCTGGTTTTCGGGGAGTGGCTTTCTCAACATTCCCACTCATTCTACAATATCCAAGAAGCTCTGCCTTGACTCAATGGTATCAGGTGAGGGAGAATTTCATGGCCCTTCCCCCCCCAGGGACAGCAGTCCTCTAGTGTTCTGCACATGACACTCTGATCCACACTGCTTCTCAGGCCCTTCATCTGGGTCAGGCAAGTTAGACTTTGTCCTTTTTTGGTAGGAACCATTCTTTGTCCAGAAAGTAATCTCTATACCTCCTCCAGGGGCACTCGGATTTTACCAAATGCAACAGGAATGAAAAGTAGAGAGGTTTGGAGCTTTTCCCCCACAGCACCCCAAGGCAATTGTAGCTTTCAAAGAGAGGTGGTGGTAGGGTCTTATACCTGTTCCTAGTCACTTCCTGCTTGCCTGGACTCCCTACCAGGGTTTGCATGTGCTCTGCCCAGCTCATTTACGGGTGTAGGCTTTTGGCTCTAAGAGGTACATCCTTAACTGAGACTTTCAGCTACTCCAAAAAATGACACACTAGTCCACACACAGCCTTTAAGAATTCGTAAAATGAGGGTGGGACTGGGAGGGAAAGAGGGAGCGGGATACAGCAGAGATACAAAGTTAACAAACTGTAACTAATATTAAAAAAATAAAAATTTTAAAAAAATGTTAAACCCACCAATCCATGCATATGGGATGTCTTTCCATTGTGTGACATGGTTTTCAATAAAGTCTGTTAGTTTTCATTGTAAAAAAAAAATTGTAAAATGATCCTACACAATGAACTACAGGCAGCTAAGGAATGCTGAGAGCAGGTAAAAACAGTCTTCCCAGGGAAGAGCACAGTGGTCATCCAATGCCAAACGGTCAGCCCTGAAAACATATATATATATATATATATATATGTAACATCATACAGCCTGAGCAGGTTGTACTTATGTATTTAGAACCTACATAGACATGCACATGTATGTATGAATTTGAAAAACAGGACAAGGAGAGGTATATGGGAAGGCTTGAAAGGAGGGAAGGTAAGAGGAAATAATATACTATATATATTTATATATATAATTTATAATATATATGAACATATGTAACATTATATATATATAGCTTAAAAAAATAATTAGGTGAACACAGTGGCATATGCCGGTAATCCCAGCACTCAGGGAGGCAGAGACAGGTGGATCTCTATGAATTTGAGGCCAGCCTGGTCTACAAAGCGAGTCCAGAACAGCCAAGCCCACACAGATAAACCTTGTCTCATAAAAATAAAAAAATATGATAAAATAATTAAAAAGGAATTTGTATAGTAAAATGTTTGATGTTTCTTACATGCCTGTGAAGATGGCTGCTCCCTTTCTCTTGTGTTCTGAAGAGGAGGCAGTCTCTGTCCTCTTTCTCCTTGGGGCTTACCATTCTTTAAGATTCAGTCTGTCTTATAATATCACCTGAAGCTGTTTAACTAAAGTGGTAATTTTATAGATTTCCTGGTTAGGTTGGTAGAGACAGTCTTAAGGCCAGCAGAAAAAAACTGAATAATAAAGCTGATGCCCCCCTTTATTCTTATCCGTTTCCATCACTGTATTTACTAAAACCTAGAGTTATTTTTTTGTATTCTCTGGTAGACCTTAACCCGTGAAAACAATTGTCTTGGTCATGATAGGAGATTTGGTTCACACCCAAACAAATACCAAAATATAAAATAAGCTATCAAATCCGCTCACACACTATAAGTCACCTCTACATTACTTGTGATACCAATACAGTGCAAACAGCTGTTAAACTCTGTCAGACAGAGTACAGTGACAAGAGCCTGTGGGTGGTCAGTGCAGATGGACTAGTTTTTCAAATATTTTGAAGATCAGTAGCTGGTTGAGTCCACAGGTAGAAAGGACCAACTGTGCTGTAACTCTTCCTTCTGTGATCCCCTACACCACATCAAACGACACCGTACTCAGAACTGAATGGAATGCTGTACGTGGCATGTATCCAGGCTGACTATCACTGTGCCCGCAGAAGTGTAAGAAACAGAGAAGAGGGGCAAGCACTCAAAGGTCAACTAGCGGGTCATGCTGGTAACTACCTACTAGTTTCCATTTGTACTGTGCAGGCTGGACAGGCTCAAATCATGAGGAATGGGAAAGATATATCCTAAGTGACTCTTAAGCTCTAAAAAATGCTGAAATAAATAGCGAAATAGAAAGATGTAATTTCTTATTATTTATTCTCCTCTTACAAAAGACACTTGGACAAATAAATATAAAATGGTATATGTCGTATTTAGAAATGGCCAAACACACACCTTGGTACTCCTCACAGGAACACTCTAATAAAATCTTCAGAAAACACTCATCCTTCCCACTCTCCACCTCTTTTTATTAAAAAAAAAAAAAAATCAATTATTTTCATTCTCCACAATTCTTAACAATGAATTATCAAAATAAGTAATCTAACACTACTCAAAGACATTTAAATGAAAAGTTTTAAAAATACATGTGTGTACAAACACACACAATATGATGTTGCTCAGAAACTCCAACTAATGAATAATACAAGATTAGTTTCCTAGGTGACAAGTCACAACTCTCAGAAGTGTGAATACACCAGAAAGCCCACAGCCAAGAGCCAGGACAGTACATCGGCATGCAGTCAGAATCCTATGCAGGTCACAGGGCATCGGGTTCAGTGATGGAATTTAAGGTCAGTCTCTTCACAGCAGAAGACGACACTTCACGATGGATGCCGGTCATGTCCCTCTTGAGACACATTCACATCACTGCTGAGGTCACAATTTGTGATAATTTAGGAATCCAAATTTAGCTCCAGAGCATGTATCTCTGGAGTAGGAATTGGAAAACAGACAGTATAAATAGGAGTTGAGTGGAACCTGCCTGCATCAATCTTTTCTTTTCCTTTAAGGCTACAGAAAATCTGCGCATAAGCAAGGAAATTAATTCTCACAGTAAGAAAACCCTACAAATAGTCAAGGTGCCCAGTCAGGCTCCACGCAGACAATGTGCTGTACCCGCTCTACTCCAAGGCTGTACTTTGTGAGTCTGCAGGGTTAAGGTCAATTCTTTCTGGAAATACTAGCTTCTCACAAACTGCCTCCTTGATTGGTAAATATTGTGATATTTCATTAGGTTCCGTGAAGAGGGAAGGTGGAACATGCTAGGAAAAACAAAGTCTTAGTTAGAATATATCAAGCATGGCCCAGACAATTTCTAAAATCTTCTAGTTCAAGCATTCACAAAGCATGGCGATTTCAAAATCAAGAACACCCCATACAAGTAAGGAACATTGTTAAGTGCTCCCCCAAATAACATGTATTCCCCATTACGAAGTCATCCAAGTGTGCTGTTGAATGGTCTTCAAGGACCTCAGTGTCATGTCATTTACAGCGCCACCATCAGTGCTGAGTCCCACTCATTTTGATCAAATCCCTCCCTGGTTCCTGTCACTTGAATTATAGCCCAGCTCATACCCTATGAAAGTAACTGAGGCAGACAGAAGAGCTGCTATGGGAAATGAATGAATGAATGAATGAATGAATGAATGAATGAATGAAGCATTTTGTTCTAGGCCAGTCATTACAAAACCCAAGTGCTAAGGAAGATCTTCACAAATCCCAGGGGAGCAAAAAATACAGGAAAATTATGCCAGAATACACAGGCCATCGTAGAGAACGACCAGTTTTAGAAAGATAGAGGAGTGTGTAAAAACATATACATACAGATAACATTATACAGACTAAGTAGGTTGCATGTATATATTCAGAAACATAGACACAACAACTATTAAAGAAAAAAAGAGCATGAATTTGAAACAGAGTAAGGGAAAGTACATGGAAGCCTTGGAGGGAGGAAATGGGAAATTTATGGAACTATCGTATAATCTCAAGAAAATGAAAAAACTATTTACAAAAAATTCTAGAGTGGAAAGGTTCTAAGTTATAGGAATATGCAATGTCACAGCTACAGCTATGGGACATCTCTGGGTCTCAGAGTCTTCAGAATGAACAGCGGAAAGCAGATGCCTGAGAACTAAGATATTCAGCAACTCCAGATGCTCTGGGACTTGGGACAAGCTTAGAACAGACACACTCCAGACTCACCCTACAGAGCCCTAAAAATTAGCACATTTAAGACGAGTGGGTGGGACTAGTGAGATACCAGACTTAAAATAAATCACTGAGATTATCATAAAAATAAATCATATAAAATCTTCGAGTTTATACTTGGGAGGCAGAGGCAGGCAGATCTCTGTTAGTTTGAGGCCAGCCTGGTCTACAAAGTGAGTCCAGGGTAGCAAAGGTTACACAGTAAAACCCTGTCTCAAAAAAAACCCAAAAATCCAACATCTAAACACTTAAAATTTAAGTACTTACCATTAAGTTAGCAATTTTGCTCTCTCGTGATGTATATTCTCGTAACATGTAGGTCTTGTCAGCCTGTATTAAAAAATAAAAAATTAAACATTATTATCATTTTTATAAAATCCTCCCCATAAAATACTGTATATACATTTTATAACAAGTTATAAGGAAAGCATGAAGTCTGATGAAAATACTTGGTTCAACAATGAGAAATAGTTTTAATTATCAGCAATTCTGAAATATTTCCTGTCCCTATAAACACATAACTACTGAAATAACTCCAGATATAAACAGGTAACCACACTTGATTATCACCATGATAAACACACACATGCAAGCAAAGGCTATACTTCAATGGATATATATATGTGTGTGTATGTGTGTGTGTATACATATTTACAAGAGATATTTATAGGCTTCAAGTTTGAAATGAAATCTTTTTCTTGGGCTATCTTATATTTTCACTGGCTCCTTTTGATCCAAAAAACATGTTTAAATCTTTAATCTTTTTCTATTCCCACTATAGGAAATAGTATTTCAGAGTTGTTGGATAATTAAAAGCATTTACCAAATTAATTACTTTAAAAAACACCCTTTAGGGGGCTGGAGAGACGACTCAGAGGTTAAGAGTACCAGCTGCTCTTCCAAAGGTCCTGAGTTCAATTCCCAGTAACCTTATGGTAGTTCAAAACCACCTATACTGGAATCTGATACCCTATTCTGGCTTGCAGGCATATATACAGATAGAGTATTCATGTTCGTATTTAGCCAAGCAGAGTTGGCCTCGCCTTTAATACCAGTACTGGGGTGGCAGATCTCTGAGTTCAAGGCCAGCGTGGTCTACAAAGAAGAGTTCCAGGACAGCAGCCAGGGCTACACAGAGAAACCCTGTCTCGAAAAACAAAACAAAAATCACCGTTTTGTACTTAGTTTTTCCCATTTAAGATACCTGATTTTTTGTTTTTTGTTTTTTTTTTCCAAGACAGGGTTTCTCTGTGTAGCTCTCACTGTCCTGGAACAGTGTAGACTAGACTGGCCTCAAACTCAGCCATTTAGGACTTTTAAGGTTATGTTAAAGAACTGCATTTTGCCAGGCAGGGTGGCGAATGTAATCCCTGCACACTAGGAAGGCAGAGGCAGGCAGATCTCTGTGAGTTCTAGGCCAGGCCAGCTTGGTCTACGTAGCAAATTCTATGACAGACAAAGACATATAGTGAAACCCTATCTCTAAAACAAAAAACAAAAACAAAAGGGAAAAGAACAAATTACAATTTATTACAATTTGCTTTTTAGATAAACACTTTTCAATATAGAAAAACTACAAAATGGGGCTGAGAGATGACTCAGTGCTTAATAGCACTGTCTGCTCTTCCAGAGGGCCTGAGTTCAACGCACAACCATCTAGAACTATAACTGGACCTGATGCCCTCTTCTGGCATGCAGGTGTACATGCAGATAAGAGCATTCACATACTACAAACAAACAAACAAGTGAATGACTGAATCAGTCAATCAATCTTTGGGCTGGAGAGATGGCTTAGAAGTTAAGAACACTGGCCTTTCTTCCAAAGGTCCTGAGTTCAATTCCAAGCAACCACATGGTGGCTCACAACCATCTATGAAATCTGGTGCCCTTTTCTGGCATGAAGGTGTACATGCAGGCGGAGAACTGTATACGTAATAAATAAATCTTTTTTTTTTTTTTAAATCATACTCCTTCAAGGTTTTAGTTTTTTTTTTTGTTTGTTTGTTTGCTTGTTTTATTGTTTTTGTTTTTCGAGACAGGGTTTTTCTGTGTAGCCTTAGTTATCCTGGAACTCATGCTGTAGGCCAGGCTGGCCTCAAACCCAGAGATCTGCCTGCCTCTGCCTCCTGAGTGCTGGGGTTAAAGGCATGTGCCAATACTGCCCAGCAAGATTTCAGTTTTTTATATCAATAAGCAACAAGAAAAAAAAAATTAATGTTCACTATAAAGAATCAGTAATGTAAACATAAATAAGAAAAATAAAAATATAGTATCAATCATAGCTACTTCTAATAACACAGCCTTTCCCATTTCAAAACTTCTACATAAAATCTTAAATAAACTCACACTGTACTTTAAAAACTCAACACTTAAGATACCTTTCCAAATTAGCCCAACTTTATTCTCTACCATCAATGTTGCTGGGTGTCTATATTTCTGCTACTACTATATGGCTACAAAAAGAGTAATCAAATGTATTAATTAAGTCATCGTGTTGTTTCGAGTGGAAAAACAAAAGGTCTAAATAAAGGACTTGGGGGCAAATGTCAACCTAACCCAACCCAAGCAGGTTCAAATCCAACTCTGCCCCTTCCTGAGTAACTAAAGCAGGCAGTGTGACCTCGTGACTTAGTAACCACAGCATGAGTTCACAGGCTGTTACAGCAGTGACTAATAGTTTTGGCAGCTCCTCTAATTCTTCACCCTATATGATCCCAATTCTGAACTTAAGTATTCAGAAAAGACAGGCTCCTCTAAAGCTATTGAAAATTTTATGACTCAATTTAAACCCACTGCCCTTTTAACACCCATTTAAAACACAACCTACACGTTAACAGCTACTGTAGACAGGAGTCAGAACTTCCCACAATCATGCAATAAAAACTTCAGCAGGCAGTTTAAGTGGGATGTCTTTTGGTTTCTGTAGACAGCGTTTCTCTGTGTAGCCTTGGCTGTCCTAGAACTAGCTCTTGTAGACCAGAGCTGGCCTCAAACTCAGTGATTCACCTGCTTCTACCTCCCAAGTGCTGGGGTTAAAGGCACATGCCACCATCATCTGGCCCTTAAAAGGGATTTCTCACATCAGGACGTTATATAGCAATACTGTCAACACAGGTTAAAGGTTAAGGGACAGTTTTCCTTAAACACAAGTTAAATATGTACAAAATTTTTGGTCAGAGCACTCATACCCAGAAAGTGTTTTTAATAAAAAACCTTTTTGATTACTAGAACTCTGAGAAACAATATATAGTCAGTGAAACACTCAAATGTATGGGTTAATAGATGATCATTAATTTCAAATTCTTAAATGACAATGAAACAACAAACAGGCTCAGTATCAATTAGTACATTCATTACATGAGCACCAGTACCTCATGGTAAAGCCGTGTGTCATTCATTCTGATGAGCACTCCATCAATTCTCAAGAAAAACCGCAAGAGCAGAAAAAAGCTGGAAGGCATTACTCTCTGGAGGATAAAAACAGCACATTAAATTGTTAATAAAAAGGAAATACTTTATTTCTTTGCTAAAAAAGAAAAGCTAAATCCACAGTAAAGATGCTCCCTGGATCATGTCTATATCCTAACGGCTTATCACAGATGGAAATATGTCTCGATGCTCCCTTAGCTCCGCAACACAGGGACCAACGGAATCAGGCATCTCAGTGGCACGGCTGCCCAGCTGTAGTCCACTGTCCAGCATCATGTCTACCATACCACACATTGATAACATGGAAAAGATAAGAATTAAAAATCCAAAGTCTAGTTAAGAACAAATGCTTATCACTTTCACATCAGCATAAAGCCAAAATAACAGTAATGTCACATTCCAAGTCAGAAACCAACTAGCTAGATTAGAGGTTCTCTGCCCTAGCTCCAACTAGCCTCACAGCCTTCAGCAGGTTACGATAAAAGGAAGGGAAGAGGAAATGTTTGTGAGGAAAGCAGAGACAAGCAAAGATCTACACCCTGGGCTCACCAGCTTAGCACACTTGGCTAGTTCCAGGCTGGGGACAAACTCCGTATTCTGAACTCGCTGCATCAGAGGCAGGCACATCCAAATCCCACCCCCCAGTCCCCTACCACCAAAGTACCTCTCTCTTCACACAAAGGCTCATCCTAGAGGATTCTGAGCAAGCACAGAGAAATCTGTGTGACTGGGAAATTAGTTACTATCTCTTGTCCTACAACTCCATTTACAAAATAGGAGTAAAAAAGCACAAAATTTTCCTGAGTGAATGCAGGCAATGCACTTAGCATGCGGCCTGTCTCCTGTAAGCATATAGCTAAGTTTTAAAAGCTCCTTCCCCTACTCCTCAACCCCAGAAATCTGTTTTCTCCATCTCTTCCCTCTATAAACCATACCCTATGAGCTCCTATAACACGTTAGTCTTCCCCACAGTTGTTCACACACACACGCACACCTGTCACCTGCAGTCTCTATTTCTCTTAATTTCTCCTGTAATTATTTTTCAAGTATGGTCTACAACCACGCTTTCTCCACATATTTCATTTACTCTAGCCATTTATCCTACCTGCTCTTGACAAGACGAGTAGCAAGAGCTAAAAGTAGTCAGCAAATGTTTATCCCTCTGGAAAGCATGCCAGTCACCCTCATGCACTCCTGTTTGAAAAGAGTCCAGTTCCTGAACTTCCTACACCGCTCCTGACTTCCCACTCACAAACCGCTGTGCCCCGGAGCCACAAAGTATAGCATTTATTTTACTTAGAACACATCTGCTACAGTGCTAGGAAGAAACCAGCCCCCAAAGAGCCCTAGTCTAATACAAATCCTTATTCATTATCTATACAGCACTCTGCCTGCTTGTGTGCCTGCACACCAGAAGGCATAAGACCTCACTACAGATGGTTGTGCCACAACATGGCTGCTGGGAATTGAACCCAGGTCCTTTGGAACAATATCCGGTGCTTTTAACCTCAAAGCCATCTCTCTAGCCCCCATCCAGCCATTCTTAAAGAGGGAATCCTATCATGTACATAATTCAGTAGTTTAGAGCACTCCCTGCCCTTCCAGAGTACCTGGGTTCAATTCCCAGCACCCACATGGCAGTTTACAAACACCTGTAACTGCAGGTGTCCACAGGACACCTTCTGGCCTCCACAGACACCAGGAACTCATCTGCACAGATATACAGACAGGCAAAAACCCATACATATAAAATAAAAATCAGGAAGTCTTTAAAAAAAATTTTTTTTAACATGGAAAGTGAGCTAGAAAAGCTTTCCAAAGGAAGTGATGTTTTAATTGGAACTTAATGGCTGAAGCATTAGTAAAGTTTCACTTCAAATTCTTCTGAAATGAATTAAAAACACAAGTATAACCTAATAGTAAACAAATTATGTGTAACTACTACAGGACTATCATTTCCTTTTTTTGTTTGTTTGTTTGTTTGTTTTTGAGACAGAGTTTTTCTGTGTAGTCTTGGCTATCCTGGAACTCACTCTGTAGAACAGGTTAACCTTGATCTCAGAGATCCCCCAAACTTGGCCTCCTGGGTGCTGGGATTAAAGGCACATGCCATCACCACCTGGGTCTATTTATCATTTCTTATAAACATGTTCTACCACTAGCATATGAACTGAAGTGGCCTGTCCTCTACTGATAGAAAACAATATAAGGAAATGATAATTTATACTTTCATTTTGTTTTCCATTTTTATGATAAAAATTGATAATTTTGATGATAGACTAAAATCCTAACACGAGTCATCATCCTGCAAGATGATTCAGAGGTTAAAAGCACTCATTGTTCCTACAGAGAACCCAGGTACAGTTCTGAGCACCCACATGGTGAGCTCACACCCATCTGTAACTCAAGCTCCAGGGGATGCCTGCTCTTCTGACCTCCAAAGCACCAGCATACATGTGGTTCATGAGCACAAAACACTCATACACATAAATAAATCTAAAAATAAATACATAAGGCACCTAACATGCTACCTGAAGATTCTACAAATCTCATCCTTAATTAAGAATTGAGAATCAAGCCACAGTTTCTATTCCTTCAAGTTAAAGAATAAGTAAATAGCCTACAAAGTAGCCAGGCAGGCACCACCTCTTGAAAAGACTAGTACATCCTTGTAGGTTTCACAAAGGCCAGTCAGCACGGTGTGCTCTAGACTCAAAAGACATTTTACACGGCACTACAGTAGTCAATGGTAAAATGTAAAAATGACACCAATTTAACAATCTCAGTACTCACAATCTTCACACTCAGGCTGGAAACTCCATGATCATGCAATTCGTCTTCAAACAGGAGAACTTCTTCAAAAAATTTAATCTGTTCTCTGGCTTTTAGTTTCTCTGTATCTATATGATCTGTTGTAGGTACAACCTGAAATATACAATTTTAAATGTGAGACTAAGTAAAGACTTAGAGCTGCGAGAAAGTTTTTATCATTTTCTTTGCATACTGTTATAAATTTGGATATAACTGAAGATCAGACTTTGCCTCCCCATGATAATCTGAAAAACACTACAGATAACTGGCATTCTGACTTCTTATCAAAACACAGTCCAAATGCACCAACTCTCAGAATAAAATTAAGCATTATGTTGTGAGGATGAGAAAATCATACACTGAAAATCAATACAAGTTACAGCTATCACCAAAGTCTTGGTTTTTAAGTGTACTCACATGTACTCACTTGGAACTAGAAAAATAGATTTTCCCATTAAAATGACATGCATCTTGGAGACTGGGAGATAAACAGCCTGCAGCAAAGCATGACAACTGTTTTCAATCCTCAGAACCCACATAAAAAGCCAGACGTGGTCATTCCTGCATGCAAGTCCGCACTGGGGAGACTGCTACATAACAATGTTAACACAGAGAACCCTTCTCAACTATACTCACTCAGAAACTGTCAAGCTGATAAACTTTATTGCTAAGTTATTAAGTCATAGGGCATGAGCAACTAGTCTAATGTGCTTTTTAAAACCTTTTACAAAAATGCATAGAGATCAAGCATATTGTATTATAGAGATTCAGTGCAGCTAGAAAAAGTGCCCTTCCATGGCTGTCCTACAGAATCATTTATTTAAACAAGAAGAAAACAGCCATATATGGGCACATCACTATGGCACAGGCATAGTACTGGACATTTAACTACTTCATTAATGCTATTCTCATGCCATCATCTTAAGACCAACTAATAAACACAAAGCTGGGCATGAATCTAGTCAGGTTAGTGTTAGAACAACTTTGTGAGTGGCTTTTTTGCATATTATACATCTCAAAGAATAAAGATTCAACAACCGAAAAGAGACAATAATAAAATACATACCCACATACACACAACTTGCCTCCAATAACTAAAAAAGCAAGAACTAGAAGGCAAGAGACAGGCTCTCTGTTCCAATGACACAGGTTCTGACACATTTTCACTCTCTACAGAAAATATATTTTACTGACACATACCTCCTATACACACAGAGCTTTAAGAGTGATTTTAAGTGTATACATGTATGTATGTTCATGTATGTAAATACAACATGTGTATGTGGTGCCCTTGGAAGCCAAAAGAACAGAGATACCACTAGGAACTAAAGTTGTAAAAGGTTGTAAGCCACCATGTGGGTGCTGGAAGTTACACCTGGTCCTTCAAGAACAAGTGCTCTTAACCAGTGAGCCATCTCTCCAGCCCCTGACGAATGCTAAGAGGAAGACTTAAGAGTTTAAAATCTTAACCAATATTATACGTACAAATTTAAAAAATAACAAAGGCCAGTGGTAGTGGTGGTGCCTACCTTCAATCCCAGCACTTAGGAGGCAGAGGATCTCTGTGACTTTGAGGACAGCCTGGTCTACAGAGCGAGATACACAGAAACTGCATCTCAAAACACTGCCTCAAAAAAACAAAAATAAACAACAACGAAAAAAAACCCTTCATTAATTCCTATGGAAGAGATCTACATACGACAAATGTATAAAACAGTTAGTTATGGGCAGTGTGTTATCTAAAATCACAGTTTAAGGTTGTGAACCCTATAGGACAGCAGTGCCTGCCCTGCAGGGTTATTCTGAGCACTAAAGAACAAAATTCTAATTATCTGCCTGAAAAAACTTGCCATTTAAAAGTTTTTTTAAAGATCTATTTATTTATATGTAGACATGCTTGGCCTGCATGAGCCCACAGGTGGCTGAAGAGGACTTCAGATCCTTTGGAACTGGAGTTACAGATGGTTATGAGCAACCATGTGGGGCTAGGAAATGGGCCTGGGTCCTCTGCAAGAGCAGTAAGCTCTTAACTTCTGAGCCATCTCTCCAGCCTCAATCATTCCATTTAAAGCAAACAAACTACACCACATCCATTGACTGTATTTGATAAGGCATCTTCTTTCATTCCTGGTATTTCAATAAGCACAGTGACCTGCTATGTGAGACCATCTGTTGAGGTCTTCGCTGTGGAACAACGGATACTGCACTAAATAAATACACGTGGATCTGGTACTGTCCATTTTCAAAATAAGCCCCTGCAAGATCCAGCTGTGAGAAGACTCAATGGGAAAAGCCTGAATTTGAATCTCCCAAACCTACACAAAGCCAGGAACAATAGTGCATGTTTATAATACTGGTGCTCCTGGGGTGGAGGCAGAATTCCCAGAGCCTGCTGGACACTGAGTATAGTCTGAACATCAGCAAAACTCAAAAACCTTGCCTCAAACCAGTTGGAAGAGGAGAACCTACACCGAAGAATATTCCAATATTCTAACCTACACAAAGACACATGTACCCAAAGAGAGAGAGAGAAAGGGAGAGGGAGAGGGATGGGGAGAAAGAAAGAGAGAGAGAGAGCACACGTACAAATTGCTTTGCCAAGCTGGTAAATGATGCTGATTTGAACCAAAGTCTGTATCTTGACAAAGCCTGAACACTTTACTATCAGAGTGATCACACTGACACTCATCAGCAACACCTTAGAAGAAATTATATGATAGGTCAAAGTGTAGATAAGAGAATGCCAAACACATAGTTTTAGCTCTTCCTATCACTCTCCATTTCAATTGTCTTGGTTCTTGCTCCTGATGCTATACTTACAGCTAATGCAGCTTTTCCTAAGTGAATCCATAAAGCAACCATCATCACTATTGCATGAGGTTTAAAAAAAAAAATCCAATTTCCTCATTCCCGGCAACAAAGCATCAAATGACCTAAGCTCACTATAAACTTCTCCAATCAGAAGAGACTATATAGCCTGCAAAGTTCTTTAAAAAAAGAAAAAAATCACCTCACTTCTTGCTGGACTATCCCAATGGCTTCTAGAATCAACAATGGCACACAGCAAACATTCAATATATGTCTAATGAAATGAATAAACAAATAAATGAATGAATGCATATTTTCTCAAAAATAATATTTCTGTACTAGAAGCACACACAGCAAAGTTTGGAGAAGGAAAAATTAAGAATTAGTTTCCAGCTGGGCGTGGTGGCACACACTTTTAATCCCAGAAATCAGGGAGGCAGAGACCTTCCTGTGAGTTCAAGGCCAGGATGGTCTAAAAAAGTCCAAGACAGCCACGACTACACAGAGGAACCCTATCTCAAAAAGACAAAAAACAAAACAAACAAACAAACAAACAAACAAAAAAGCATTAGTTTCTATCTCCTGAGACTAAAAAGTTGTGCAAGGATTCCATGCATGTCTTCACATGTTCAGCTAAGCATCAACTTTAGTTGTCAATAACTTTTACTTAAAAGAAATTTAATCTGCTAGGCAGCGATGATGGCGTACATCTTTAATCCCAGCACTCAGGAGGCAGAGGCAGTGGAGCCTGGTCCACAGAGCAAGTTCCAGGACAGGGAGGGTTACACAGAGAAGCCCTGTCTCAATAAACACACAAAGACACAAACAAATCTGTACGGTGTGTGTGTGTGAACATGTGCCACATTATGTGTGTGGAGGCCAGGGGACAACTTGAAGAAGCTGGCTCTCCACTGCCACCAAGCAAAGGGCATCAAGCTTGGCAGTAAAGTGTCTTTACTCACTGAGCTATCTTACCAGTCCTAAAATAACTTTTAAGGAGAATAGTTTACATTAAAACAACTTTGTTCCTTATGCCTCACAGACATACAACCTTAGCCACATTTGTTTTACTTCAGTCTGATCGTAAGACCTTAAAATGTAGCTGATGTAGACCTACAAATTCCACATTCTCAGTGCCCTTTACCATAAGGTGAAGCTCTTTTCGAACAGAGATTATATACATGCAACTCAACAATAACACTATACTTTAAAATGTAATTAGACCTTGTTCATGAACTATTCATATAAAAACTGCTATGGTAAGGCATCATTATTTATTTAATTTACTAGTAACAGAAACTTGTCTTGATTAAATAACTCACCTGAAGGGCCAGGTGTGGTGATGCATGCCTTTGATCCCAGAACCAGGGAGGCAGAGGCAGGCAAATCTCTTTGGGTTCAAGGCCAGCCTGGTCTATACAGAGAAGGCTATCCAAGGCTACATGAGAGCAAAGAAAAGAGCAAAGGAAGAACAAAAAGAATAACTCATCTAAAGCCATACCAAATTTATAATCAGTGCAAGCCGGTAAGTTTTTGCCAGGTGCAGTGACGCACGCCCGTAATCCCAGCGCTCAGGAAGGCAGAGGCAGGTGGATCTCTGTGAGTTCGAAGCCAGCCTGATCTACAAAGCGAGTACAGGACAGCCAAGGCTACACAGAGAAACCCTGTCTCGAAAACCAAAGGGAAAAATAAAAAAGATATGTTTTCCATTCAACAGTTCTATTTGTTCATGTGTAGAACTAGAACTCTAAGCTACTAGCTAGCAGTTTTTCTTTCTATCTTTTCTTTTCTTTGGTTTTTCAAAATGGGGTTTCTCTGTATACAGCTCTGGCTGTCCTGAAACTCACTCAGTAGACCAGGCTTGGCCTTGAACTCAAGAGATCCACCTGCTTCTGCCTCAAGATTTCTGAGTGTGCTCCACCACTACCCAGCTAGCTAGCAGTTTCTTCTAAATCACCTAATAATACATTACCAAGAGCAGGCGCTGCTTGGCCATGATACTGTTTACATAAAGGCAAAATAAGCATTTACCAGCCTTAATTTAAAGAATATTGCTCCCAAGCAGGAATGTGCATGCCTATGGTTCCAGACACTCAGGAGGCCAAGGCAGGGGAAGCACCCCAGCCCAAAAGTTAAATGCCAGCCTTGTAAGACTCCATCTCAAAAAAAAAAAAAAAAAAAGGGAAACCTGGCTATTTCTTGCAATAGTCTTCTTTTATTTCCTACTAATAAATGCATTAATTAGCCTGCAGGATGAAAGGATGAAAGCAGTGAAGAAAGAGAAAACTAATGATTCATAAAAGCAAAAGGTTCAGATTTACCTTTAACTTAAGAGACTCTCCGAGTAACGTTCCTTTATAATCTGTTGTATAGGTCCAGTCATATGGTTTAATTACTTCTTTGGAGTGTTCACCCTCCGTCCTCAAATACCAAAACAAAAAGGATGAGATTTAGAATATATATTATCAGTGTTCATATGAATACCAAATTACACATTGTTTATGCAAAATACTCTACAAACACCCACAAAATATAAACACCCAATCGAGGCATATACTGTCATTAACCAGTCTTTCTTACTGCTTTCTATTATTTAACTTTGCCACGTGCTGACCTGGTCTTTCTAGGTCGCCCAACACTATATGACACATGATTTAAAGCTTACCTTTCTTTCTAGCCTCTAAAACACACAGTATACAATAGGTAGAAAGTTTAACTAGCAAAATAATACACTTTTCTTAGTTTTAAAACTCCACAAATGTGCAACAAAAATTACAAGAAAAATTTTTTTCTTTAAAAACAGAAGCACTGGGCTGGAGAGATGGCTCAGAGATTAGGAGCACTGGCTGCTCTTCCAGAGGTGCTGAGTTCAGTTCCCAGCAACCACACAGAGGCTCACAACCATCTAGAACGATGTCTGGTGCCCCCTTCTGGCATGCAGGTGTACATGCAGACAGACACTGCATTCATAATAAATAAATAAATATTTTTAAAAAACAGAAGCACAGTACAATGTTTGGACTAATGGGTACCTACACAGCTCAACACAAGTGTGTTCCAACCTAACGACTATTTCAAGCAGTGGTAACCTTTGTCTTATGGCTCAAAAAAATGAATTTTAGAGTCCAGCTGGAAATTGTTATTCTAATAAAACACACAGATCCTTACTGAACACTTCTCTCTTCTCCTGTTGAAGCTAACTGCCCACGTCCTCACCTACTTTCCTGCCACTCTTCAGCACAGGCTACTTTGAGCATGCCTTGGTAGTTGTTCACACATCTCAATGCATCTGTAGCATTGAACTCAATCCCAAAGCCGGAACCATGCTGGATTCTTAGAACGTTGTCTCCAAACATCATTTCAGGGAGGGATGGCATATGCAATTCATCAGCTAATCTACACATAAGCAAAGGTCAGGGAGATTAGTTATGTTCATCAGTTACTTCTGTTTCCTTTTCATTCCAACTCAATTCTGACTTTACAGACTGAGTTAAAGAGTACATGACTTAGTAAACATGACATTTAAAAAATCTATAATGCTTTTATAATAACCCATTTGTTCATCATTAAATATGTATGGCACTACATTAGGAAAGAGAGGGGTAAGTGATACATGAAAAACAAAAACAAACAAAAAACCAGAGTGAGGAATTGGATAGGAACCACTATTTTAAGATAATTAAGATCAATTCCAATAACTACTTATAAAATCTGATTTTCACAACCATTCCATGATCTAAGAGAGTTCAAGAGTATATAACTGCTAGTATCACACCAAGCCTTTATTCAACATGCTAGGCCACATTCTTTACACATCCCTCGGATGGGCACCGCCACTAGACTGTATTACAAAAGAGATAGTGTCCGAAATCAGTAACACACCGATGTGTTTTGCTATCGTGAATGGTATTCTTATTGTTTTGACACTTGAAAAGTTGTCAAGAAAAATTGAGATTTTTATTGTTGTTGTTTAAATTAGGACTTCTGGTTAAAAAAGAAAAAAGCTGGCACTAACAACACAAGGCCTGCTTTGTCACAAAGCACCAACTGGTTGGTGCTAAGTAGAAGCTGCCAACCTCTAAGTGGGGCATGAACTGTCCAGTTCACTGGTCCTTTTGAAAACTGGGTTTGAAACCATGAATTACAAACAACATGAAACAATAAATGTAAGGATACAGTAGTTACACATATGTCTTGGTGGTAACCAACAGCTTTCTAGTTGGCCTTAAGGCACACTCAACAAAAGACAATCATGCCTGGTAATAGAAACCTCTCTAGTACCTGGGACTAGTGAGGTTATGGACCTTAGAGAACCTACAGCTACCTATGCCCACTTTACTAAGTCAGCATAATTCATATAATACCACACTCTCTCACACACACATGCACACACCACCACCACCAATAAACAAAAAGAAGCCATGAATTTGAGAGAACACGTGAAGGGGTGGACAAAAGGAAGGAGGAAAATGACACAATTATAGTTATTTTCAACAAATAAAAAAAAAATGTATTTTTTAAAATTGGGTTTATAGTCCCAGTTAAAAGGCTTCTCCTTTGGTTTCATGGTGCCTGAGATTGAACTCGGGGCTTTGCACCCGCTGGGCACATACCCTATCACCTGGTGGCAACCCTATTTTCTGTAAAGTTAAGAGAGTTAGTTATTCACTTCTGGAAAAACAAGGTCTAAGTACATAGGCTGCCACACTTTATGACCTAATCACCCTGGTTACAACCCAAACTTCCAAATTCAGGGATGAAAGTTCAAGGCCTTAACCAAAGGCAATTTATTCACAGGCTGGTTACAAACCCTGGAAACCTGGCCCAATATGCTTATTCTGGGTTGGCCAATTATTACCGTGACTCTCGTTTCTGAAATCTGAGCCAACAGCCACAAGAAGCACACTTCTAGAGCCACACCATGGGGCTGGAGAGATGGCTCAGCGGCTAAGAGCTCAATTTCCAGCAACCACATGGTGGCTCACAACTGTAACTCCAATTCCAGAAGATGTGTTACCCTAACACAGACAAGCATGCAGGCAAAACATAAATGCACATAAAAACACATCCACCTTTAAAAGAGAGACTGAGACAGCAGAAAACAGAAGTCAGGAGGCAGAGAGCGGAAGACTGAAGCTGCTGAGAGGAGTGGTGACGGGAGCAGGTCAAAGACGCAAGTAAAGGAACAAAGCTAGCAAAGCCTCCCACAGGAACTGTTGGAGTTCTTTTAGACAGACGATGAACAGGTTTTACAGGGTGGATAGACGTATGCAGGTATTCCACTGTTTCAGAACTGACCTCATATCACCCTACCTAAAATTTCTCCTGCCTGCCCAGTTACCTTTGTTTTTCGTTTTTGTTTTTTTGTTTGTTTGTTTTGGTTTTGGTTTTTTTTTTCAAGACAAGGTTTCTCTGTGTAGCTCCGGCTGTCCCGGAACTCAGGCTTTCCTTTCGTTTTTCCCTAGAATTCAGAAATTCTAGACTCTTGAACAACTAGTTAAAATTACTGGGAAAAGCAAAATCATACCAAAGAGAATACATTTTGCCAGGTATGGTGGCACATGCCTTTAATCTCAGTTCTGCGAGTTCAAGACCAGCCTGGTTTACACAGTGAGACCCTGTCTCAAAAAAAGAAAAAAAAAAAAAAAAAAAGAAAAGAAAAAAGCATTTTTACAAAAAAACAGAAAGGGATTAGGTGGGAATAAAAGGAGACGAATAGGAATCAGGAGGACAAAAGTGTAGTAAGGAATGTGTGAGTGTGATTGAAACACATGTACTTATAGGAAAATATCATGAATTCCACTATATAACAATGTATGCTAATAAAACATTTTAAAGGATATAGTTTTACAAAAGTCAAGAAAAGATCTATGTACAATTATAATCTTTCCAATAGCTTTAAATTTATTTCCAGTTAGACACACCAAACAAGTCTTTGTGTGTGTATATATATAAAACCAATAATTTTTTTTTTTTAAACCTGAATGATCAAATAGAGTAAGTTTGGTTTTGGAGGGAAGAAATAAAGCTCCTTATGGGAAACATCTATCTCATTTCTGGGTCCTCAAAAGCCCATAACAGTTTTTTAAAATATCACCTAGGAGATACTGCACGGCATTCCCATGTTCTGCTGAACTGTGTGTTTTTACATGACCGCATCAATAACAGCTATGAAGAAAAGACGATGGCGAGCCTGTCACTTGCAGGAGGGGAAAAATAAAACAGGTAAAAATTTCACCTTAGAAATTTCAAGGTTGGTGACGAAAAGAAGGAACAGTAGCTAAGGAGGAGAGTAGAAACCAGCAACTGCTTACAGGGTTTCCTAGGCCACTTCCCACATGCTCACAGGACTCTCTAGGACCCTTCCTTCCCACCCTGCGGCCACCCTCACACTTACCTACAGGGCTCTCTAGGACACTTACTTTCTACCCTCCGGCCAGAATCAAAGAAAACAACTCTAAGAAGTTAATCAGATTTAAACTCTCTGACTTAAATTATCAGCTGTGGGTTATATACAAAATAACCTCTACAGGAAGAAGGTTGAATCACATATACTAGTACTTATCACTTCTGTTATAATAGTGAAAGAGATACTCTGAGTCTCTTAAAAAACAGTTATATGTGTGTGGGGGGAACTACTTTCTTTCTTTCTTTTTTTTTTTTTTGAGAAAGAGTTTCTCTGTGTAACCCTTACTGTCCTTGAACTCATTCTGTAGACCAGGCTGGCCTTAAACTCAAAGATCTGCCTGCCTCTCTCTATCTTCCAAATGCTGGGATTAAAGGCATGAGCCACTACAGCCCAGCTACTTATTTACAATAAAAGGGAAAAAAAAAAAAACTATTTAAATAAATGGTTATACAGCCAGGCATAGTGGCACAAGCCTTTAATCCCACTACTCAAGAAGGCAGAGGTAGGGCCAAGTTCAAGGGCAGCCTAACCTATAGGTTTTTGAGTTTCAGGGCCCCAGGGCTATGTAGAAAGACCCTATCTCAAAATTACCAATAAATAAATCAGGTACGGTGGCTCACGCCTTTAGTCCTAGCACTTAAAAAGCAGAGGCAAGCAGGTCTCTCTCTAGTTGAGGCTAGCCTGATCTACACAGTTCCAGGACAGCTAAGGTAGAGATCCTGTTTCAAACAAACAAATGGTTATACAAACTTGCAACCATATTTAGAGAAAAGAAGACAGAAATTCTTAAGATGTATACTAAGACAAAACTGGGTGCATACTCCATTTGACCTGTTGGTGACTTAGGTTTCTAAGCGGCGTATTTTTAGGATGGCTAATAACTGTAAGATGGCACATTTTCACCGTAAATTTAGGTAAAATTTATTCTTTACTGTAAGGGAATGGAAAATATTAAATGTCTAAAAGATCAAACACAATTAACGATTGATATCCACAAGATAATTCTGTAAAATATAGGTTTTTTAACTACTTTCTTGAACTAGACCAAATATGAAATAATAAGCTTAACTCCATGAGTTTTACCAATTTATCTGGAAAAATCCAGTGGTCCCGAAAAACACTCCAGTTACATATGTAAGTAATTACCATGATTAAGGTAGATTGCTTCAAATGGTCTATCTTCCAGTTCTATCACTGCTATTATCTATTTGCTTCCGGCTCTCTCAGTGGTGATATCAATTTGTTAAAGGTGAAGCATAACATTGTGTTCGGGCTGGAGAGATGGCTCAGAGGTTAAGAGCACTCGCTGTTCTTCCCAAGGTCCTGAGTTCAATTCCCAGCAACCACATGGTGGCTCAAAAACATCTATAGTAAGATCTGGTGTGCAGGCAGAATGTTGTATAAATAATCAATGAATCTTTAAAAAAATAAAGAAAGAAACGTGGTGTTCCAGACTTATTAAGATCCAGGGGATCCAGACCTCTCTTCTGCCTTGCCCCAGGTACCAAGCCCACACGCAATACAGCAAAATCGTTCATTCACATATGATAAAAATAAATCTATTAAAAACATTATTCTGAATTTGAAACAACTCATGTTAAAAAAAAACAGGACTCTTTTACATATGTAAATTTTAATATCTCCCAACATGATCCTATCATCATACAGGGTCTCCTTTTTTCTTTCTACCCATCAATTAGCCATCAAACTTAAGCATCTAAACTTAGGCTCTATCATCTCTTTTCTGCTTCCTGGCGTCCCTTCCAGCCCTCCAGCCCTTCAATTCATCTTCTACACCTCCAAGAAACCTTTCAGACACAACCATAATGCACGTAGCTACTCTGGGTAGAACTACTCCTGGTGGTTATCATTTCAAACCCAAACTCCTTAGCAAGAAAAAGAACTCTCCAACGACGCGGGAGGCAATTCCCCAAACACACTCTGCCAGGCCGTCCCCTCCACCCCCACAAACTTTGTCGAGATACAGTTCAGGCATCCCCAAACGCCCGAGAGCTCACTCTGACTGCCTGCTTGACATGTCCACTCAGCCCCACACTTGATCAAGATTCTACCAAAATGCACTGACACCCCCACCCCCGCCACACACACACACACATCCTCTCAAATCGTCCCATCTTCATCCTAAACAGCCACACAACATAACGGTCTCTCACGAAATTACCAATTCCTTGGGACTTTTATCTTTCATCTTCCGCAGCTCAAGTGCTTATCACAGCACCTGATTTGCTGAAAGGAAAAAAAATTTAAAAGAAAAAAGCTGAGATCGCTCCGGTTGTAAGGTAGCAGTCTCACACACTGTGAAGCCTGTGGGGCTTCATGATTCATGTTCCGAACCTCAAGCGCCCGCCACAGAACCCGACGAGCTGAATGCTAAACGTAAATACCATCTCTGTCATTACCCGCAAGGAACCAGGTCACCCGCGCCCAGAAGGGTGGCGCAGGCTTAGGTAGAAAGAGAGCAGCCGCGAGGGGAAAGCCCACCGAAACAGCCGCGCTCGGCTCACCCCCGCGAAGCGACCGTTCCAGCAAGCGGAGGCCGCGAGCTGGGGGCAGGAGCATTTACCCGAGTTGTCAACCCGCGGTCGGGCCAGAGGGACAGAACCTGCGGCCCCGAGAACCGCGTGAAGCTGCACCGAACCCGCCCGACCCCTCCCCCCCCACCAGCCCCGCAGCCTCACTTCTCCACATCCGCAGACTTCATGATGTGGGTCTTGGCCGCCGTCAGCTTCCAAGGCCCGAAGGAGAAGTCCTGGTGGCTGCTCTGAAAGCCGTGGATCATCATGGCAGAAGCGGAGCCGCAGGGCCACCGGGAGAAAGCGCCGGCGGCAGCGGTCACACTGCGGCCCTCCCTGCGGCGCGGATCCCGGGCGCGTCCGTTACCATCTCGGCCCCGCCCCCGGCCGCCCCGCCGTGGGTCCTCCCTTCCGCCGTCTCTTCCGCCCCTCCTGGTTTTGCTTCCGGGACCAGCCGCTGGCTCTGCGTTACTTACGTCTTACGTGAGGACGCCGAGGGGCGGGACTTAAGCGCCTGGTGTAGCCGAGGCGCACAGCCCTGAGTTTTTTCGGGTGATGTCACCGCAGAGTGGTTGTGGGAATGCATTTTTCTCGGTCAAGAGTCCTGTGCTTCTCTTCTCTGCCTTACAGACCTCTCCAAGCGGTGTCATCACTGTGTTCGGGGACGTGCCTAAAGTCGCAGCTTTCGAGCTTGCGACATTGGCTTTCGAGCCAATGGACAAGAGACTCAACTGTGCATTTCAGTGGAAGGGCCCTTAGCATGCCAGCCCAGGCCCAGTGTTCAGTTCTTATCAGTATCGCTAAAAGATCGACAAATTAACCTTATGATATTTTAAGACTTTGCTACCTGCAGACCGGTGTGGAAACAAACGCTGAAAGCCTGATGCTCCCTCTCTGCTTGCTGTGCGATTGTGTGCATCTTTGGGCAAAACCCAACCAATTATTTTAGGCTTCAGCTGCCTCAAAAGGAGATGGTTTAATGTTAGCACATCTTTCAAAACGGTCTGCCATCTCAATTCCAGCATGCCCTCTCATTCCTACCCATCATGCACTCAACTTTTCATCGACTCAGGAGCCACTAAGCTACCTTCCTCCATGATTTCTGATTCAGTTCCTGTCTTGACTTCCTGGAGTTGTAAGCCAAATAAACCTTTTTCCTCCTCAGGTATTTCTGATGTGTTTCTGTCCTAGGAACCCATCATCAATCCCACCCTCCACCCCCGCCCAAAGTCTCTGGCCTAATTCATTCTGTTGTCCTTCTTCCCGTGTTTCCTAATGCAATTACTCTATCCACGTTGCCTGTGGAAAGTAGGGTATCTCAGCATGCCCAGGGAATAAAGAAGTTCATTTTGAATAGTGGAGGACTGTCTGCCTTTATCACTGGCCTACACAGGGTGGCCGCTGAAGCACTTCCCAAGGAGGCTGGGGCCCTTTCACTAGTGTTTCTTTGTAAACCTCAACATTATCTAGATCTGCTAGAAGATCTAATAAGGAGGTGAATGAGCAAATTACATGCAATAAAACCATCCCAACTTTTTTTTTTTTTTTTTCCTGAAAAAGCCCCAGGTAGCCTAAACTGACCTTCACTATTGCAGTTAAGGATGACCTTGAATTCCTGATCCTTCGGCTGCTTCCCAAGTGCAGGAATTGCAGGTGTTTCTCACCGAGCTTGGCTCCATTCCATCATTCTTACTATATGATATCTTCCTTTGATTTTTTTTTCTACATTAAGCCAAGAAAAATGTGGAGGATCTCCGTGCTTTTCCAGGCCAACCTGTAGAAAAACTTTAATTCAGAAAAAGGTTGCTTGGGCAAGAGATCACATCCAAAGACCTTCTAGGTCTGTGTGATCTGGCTGGAATGCAGATTGCCTGGGGGGGTGGGGGGGTGGCACACACCTTTAATCCCAGGAGGGAGAGGCCAGCAGATCTTGGAGTTCAAGGTCAGCCTAGAATAGAGCAAGTTTCAGGAAAAGAAAAGCTTAGGTAGGTGTGGTGGTACATCCTTTAATCCCAAACAGTGAAGGTAGAGATAGTTTGTAGAAGGAAGCACCTATGTTTCACAAGGATGTCTAATTGAGTGACAGAAAAAGTGACCAATCAGAAAAAGATTTGACAGAGCAGGGTATGCCCAACAGAGAGGAAAGGAAGCGACTTAAGGGAACAGCACAGAGAATGGGAGGGACAAAAAACCAGGTTTTACAGAGAGTGGTTGAAGAGAGAAGGAGCCAGAAGATTAGAACAGATTGCCAGAGTCAATAGGAGGCCAAGCTGAGCAGTGCAGTCAGAAGTGAGAAAAGCCAGTTTGAATCAGTCAGCTGGGAGAAGCATTCAAGCCAGAACAGCTGAGCTGAACCAGTCAGCCAGAGCTAGAAAGGGTAAGCTTACTCAGCAGTAAGTCTCAGAGGCTGAAAACATTCCAGACCTAGAATAGATTGTATGAGGGCTAAAAGCTTCCAGGACTAGACCTAGCTTAGTCAGATGACTAAAAGTTTCTCTTTAGTCTACACAGCAAATTCTAAGACTTCCAGGACTTATGTAGACACTGTCTTGATAAACAAACAAACAAATGTATCTCTAGTTCTTTCAGCATAAGTCACAGCTGAATTTAGATTGCAGTCATCCTACTGAACAACAACAACAAAGTCTGCAGATCAACTACCAAAGTGGGTGGAGAATCTCTCTGAACTACCACAATTCAGTCATGTTCAGGAATGTAGATTCTCTAAAACTACATTCCTCTGTCTTTGAGCCCGCAATGTTGTATTTTGTATCCAATCCTGCTTTCTGGAATTGTACCAACAAAAATTATCAAAACAATGTGATTCTTTGACTGTTAAAGAAGTTAGCTACTCAGATTGGAGGGGGAAAAAAACATAGTTCAGCATTTACAGGCAATGGGAAGTGCCACCCAGATGGGCTGACAAATCTTAATTATCAGCTTGACTGGGACTTAGGTGCCTAAAAGATTAGTAAAGCACAACTCTTCGGGGGAGGGACAGAGCAAGGTGTGTGTGTGTGTGTGTGTGTGTGTGTGTGTGTGTGTGTGTGTGTGAAAGAGAGAGAGAAAGAGTTTCCAGAGGCAATTCATTATGGAAAAAAAAGACCCACCCTGAATATAGGCAGTATCATCCAAAGAGTTGTTGGACTAGATGGAATTTGAAAAGGTAGAGAAAGAAGCCCATTGGCATAGGAATTCCCTCTCCCTGGCTTCCTTCTGCCTTGAAGTAAATTGCTTCAGCCATAGGTCTACCAGGAATCCATCTGACTGGTGATCTGAAACTGTGAGCCAAGTTAGCTCTTTCCTTTTAATTGTTCCTCTTGGGTAGAGGTCACAGTATCACAGATCCAAGGAGAACTGGTACCCTCTTACAGATTGGATATCCCAAAGAAGGCATACAACACTCTCTAGGTGTGTCAGAACCAACTGTCTAAGACAAAGATGGTGGAAGATTCAGGAACAGGGAATTTGGTCTTCTCAACTCTTACTACTCCAACTCTAAATTTTTCTCTCTTGACCGAATAAATGACATACATCCATGTAAGAGTTCACAGTATAGTAAAATGAACACACATGAAATCAGAAATCTCTTAGATACAATGACATCTAATTTCATACTATGCCAAATGAGGCCAGAGATACTTATACAGATAGTAATAGAAACTTCATAGTTTTATCCTTATAACACACAAGCCAAGAATATTCTCCTATTTGCTTAATGGTGCCCTTGCCTTATTTTTTATTTTTAATGGGTGGGACAGGCTGTTATGTGTATTACTACTTTGTTGTCAACCCTAATGACCTTGTAATACATTCTGATCACCTATCTCACTTTATATATTTTTCTCTTATGTCTTAAAAAGTCTACTCTGTTGTGGGGCGTGGTGGAGCACACCTTTAATCCCAGCCCTTGGGAGGCAGAGGCAGGTGGCTCTCTGTGAGTTTGAGACCAGTCTGGTCTACAGAGAAAGTTCTAGAACATCCAGTGATACACAGAGAAACCCTGTCTTAAAAATTGAAAGAGAAAGAAAACCTACTGTATGTCTCCTTGTTTATAATATCTGTGTCAAACCTTTTTTTTTTTATTTTTAACTCTCAAAAGGAATTGTTAGAGCAACATAGGGTAGAAGGAGTTGCTGGCCAGACCAGTAGGGCCCTGGAAACAACAAAACAATGAAACAGTTTGCTGGGAACTATGGGAAATGACCAAGGGCCTAGAAAGTTCTACAGGAATCAAATATCTCAAAGAGGCCACACCTCTCCTTGAAAGATCCCCGGAGGGTATCTTCCGTCAGAGAGACCCCCTCCCAAGGATCAACGAGTCCATTCGGATGCAAACAGCAAGAGGCTTTTATTTTGGTTCTCGGGTACCCGGGGCGATAAGTCTTTCGGAAGACTTCCGCGCCCCCTAGATGGGAAGCTGGGGTTTTTATAGGGTTTTAGAGGCAGAAACACTGGTACAGAAACGAGAGGGCATGGTTACAGGGGGCTGATTGGTACGTTTACACGAGACCACAATTTGCGTCAAAGTTTGGCAGGGGCACCAAGATTTCAGGAACTGGGTGGTCAA